CTTCATATCTTTTAAACATGCCGCCATCAATATCAGGCTGGTTCTTCACATTTAGATTAATACAACGAATTACGATTAAAAACAAATAAACAAACTGACAAAAACCTGTTTCACATCGATCACCATAGAATCCTGGTACACAGCTGCAGTTGAATCCACCAAGTTGGTCAGAACATGTTCCATCGTTTAGACAAGGATTGCTCTCACACTCGTTGATGGCTGTCAAATCTATAAGAGTAATAAACACAGCTTGATACTTACGTAGCTCTTCTGAATACGTATTTTTCTATTTGTAATAATATCGTAAATCCTCGAACTAGCGCCCGGGGCGCTTATTTCAAGTTTAGAAGAAGACGCGGGGCGCTTATTCGAGGGAGGCGCTTAATCGGGTTCTGCACTCATTTCATTTTTCCCAAATCGTGGTCAGATATNTCTGGATAGCCCGCGCGCTGGTAGAATTTCTGCTGAAAAGTAAAGTAGGTCCTCTGTGGTACAAAGCGGTCCCCAGCCTGTTTACAACAAATCTCTAGCCCAATAGTATAACTATAGGAAAATATTGACTATACTTGTTTCACAGCGGCTCCCATGGAATCCAACGCGACAGCTGCAGATAAATCCATTTACACGGTCAGTGCAGGTACCACTATTATGACAAGGATTGCTCTCACACTCGTCTATATCTGCAGAATAAATCACATGTTGGAATGGATATGATGTTTCCTGTTCATCATATATAAACTTGGCCAGGAAAAGATAACTAGGAAGTTATTCTTATGCAACTTGAACTTACACGAGTGTTAATGAATGGATCAAAACACCTTAGTTTGGATTAATCTTTCCTCAGTTGCAAAAATGAACTAATTGAGTAACACAACACGTTTCTTTGGAATGGCAAGGTTATGAATTTCATGCGTTATTGTTCATTTCCACCAGGATCTTCGGAAGGCATGAACTGGAATGGAACCTGGCTTGTTACTCAACTGAACCTACAGAACTCTCTGGTGTATGTGTCTAATAAACTGGAATTATGCTTTCTCTCACCAGTGCAATTTTTCCCATCCCCAGTAAATCCAGCTTTACAGGAGCAAATGTAAGAACCAAAAGTATTCTGACAGACGGCGTTGACGTCACAAACAGAAACATCGGCACTGCATTCGTCGATGTCTAAAAACAAGAACGAAACATATTAGTCGGTTGGGAATAAAAATTCCATCAATTACGTATAACTATGAAACCATTACTTATCGACCACCTATGTTTATAATTTTTCCCT